TAATGACCAAGAATTTTTACTCTGGCTAACTCTGGCACCAAGTCGGACTTCAGTGATCTTTTATCTATTTTGGACAGACTTCAGTGCTGAGAGCAAACGAAACCAAGCAGTTACGTCTCAACGGTATATCGAGTGCATTGTTTAATTATGAGTTTACTCTACATGTTAACTTTCCCGTCACTGTGGATGATCTAATTAACTTCGGAAACGGTGTTGCAGCTTTGCTTGCCGTAGTTTTAGTATACCTCCTCACAGGTAAAATAAAATATCAAAAACATTTTTTTTTTTTCAATCACGCTATTTTTTTTTTTAAGATGCTGTTTACAATTCAATTTCATCTTTCCTTATACGGCTGAAAGGAAGTTCACAATCGGCTCTGGTTAAGTCTGCCTTTGAACCTGGCTCAGCCCACTGATATCACAATAGAGATAAATTTTCAATCCATTTGTTTTTGTTGTATTAATTATAACGCGTGATATGTTGATTATACCTTGGGTACAAGAGGGAAAACCGAAACTTTTATATTCCGGTTCAGCGTTTAGGGCTTTGTAGTGTCTCTTGAAACTTTTTACCTTTTTTTAAGGACTGTCTTAAATTCGAAGAGTAACAGGGTTAAGTAAAACCAACATCTGGCTTATTTTAAGAGGGTTAAACACTTTTATTTGCAGGAGGAGAACGGTGAACTGTGCCAAAATCCACACACACCCTGATTTCCAAATGATCCCTTATTTGGTGCACGCTTGGCGTTTCCGGTCACACGTTACCGCTCCTTTTCCGATATCATTCAACATGGCGATTTTGAGAGAGAATACAGACGGACAGAACATAGAGATCAATTGCCTCTTGAAGTTAGGAAATCGTCATAGATTACTCTCCACAAACACAACTTGTCATGATTGGACTCGCTTGGACTCTCGTTGTCACACATTGGGATAACGAAAGTGAGAAAGTAGTTCTATTAAAAAATTTCGTGACGATACACAGAGTCTCGTTAAGTTTTGCTCCCCGTCTGCCTTTCTTTGGATGGCAAATTGTATTTCCGAAGGCGCAGCCCAATAATCCAAAAGACAGTAAAATCATTGACCCTTGAAAATGTGGCACGGTCACGCAAACAACTGCTTTGTTTATGATTTTCCCGTTGTCGTTTCCGGTCATAATGCAATTCGCTCGAATACGAAACATTTTTAAAATGAAATCTACATGAGAAATGCGAGCGAGCTCAGGGAGATCTTTTTACATGAAGACTATTGGGAAGTCATAGCGTCAAGTAAAGCACTGCAGGACGACATACGGCATGATTGTTTTATGTTACATGAGTGACACGTGGCGTCTTATTCAAATTTCTCGCTTCCTGCTTCACTGATCACATATCAAAACAAGCTGTCAATCAAATGAATGGTTAAAGATATAAATTAGCAAAAGATCGTATACGTTCAAACTCTATCACTGATTCGACAACCTCAGTCTGTAGCAAGCTTCAGAGAAAACTACTGTTGACCCACAGATTTTCTCTCTGAAATTCTTCCATTTAAGCCTGTCACAGAATACTTTAGCAGTGTTGATAGCATTTATCTGAAGGCTGTTAGCCGAGCATCTGAATCACGTTCTATAATTCGCTGAAAAAAAAATTATATATATTACAAAAATGGAGATAGAAGATGGATGCTTTGGTGGTTTTCTAAGCTTTGCAGAGCTGGAGAGATATTTCATCCATGGTAAGTGTAAATGTTGGCAGCAGATTATATCCTACAAAGTAAGTTGATAATTTTTAATCAGTCCTTCTTGAAAACAAACTTGAAAATCAAATTTCTTTGATTTGGCGTTGAACTGAGCAAAACTTGGTTGCCAGCATTTTTTACCTTGACTGGAGTTGATTACTGCCGTTTCGTTGTAACATTTTTACAATTATGGGATTGTGTATCGTTTTAATCAGTAATAAAAAAGCAAATACAACATTGGGAATACATATTCCCTCTAACTTTGAAAATTGGCAACCTTTTGTCGTCTGTGGGTCAGTGACATCAGGGGTTATGTTTTTTTTTTTTATTTGGCTCTCTATGAAAACGTTTCCTTTAAAGGAAATCTTTCAATGGCAAGATGAAATTTAAGGTAGTTTGAAAAAAGTTTAGTTACATTATACAGTGTCTTTTAGTTTGTCAACCCATATCAGATTTTAAGATTCCTTTACAACAAGTTCTTCAGCGATAGTTTCAAAATTTTTTGATTTCTCAAGCGATACCACCATAATTTTTTTTTTTTATGAAGACGTGATTCTCATGTAACATTACACAATAACCGAACAAATAATATAGAATTCCGCTCTTTCCGCTTGTTTGCACTGCAGCCATTAAGGATATCCCACGAAATCAGATATAAAGCTTTGCTCAGCACGCTACAAACGTTATTTCAGCAAAAATCGTAACCCCTTATTAAGACGTTTGGCTTAAGACAGACCACATAAGAGTGATAGCAAATGTGAATGATACTGTGAACAAAACTGAAATCTCGAGGACACAGTCAGACAACAAAAAATTCGTTTGTGAAACAGATTTTTCTCGTTTTTCCTTGTTTAGAGATTGGTCCTCATTCTTCATGATTGATTAGCTTCTTAGTGCTTAAAGGATCATAGGATTTTCTTGTTAAACCATCAACAAAAATTTTTCCGGGACTCTTCAGGGTTTTGTTTACCCGAGAGTTTCACTTCTTCCGCGTACTAAGGCGATGAAAGTAGGATGATTTCCTGTTCCACTACGTCATATCCTATAGGTGTGCTTTTCCCTTGATTTTCTGAGAAAAAAGACCATCAGTCCGTAATTTTTGTATTCAAATCACGTTAAGGTTCCTTTGCTTGATACGTGTTAATTAGCTATTCGAGTTCGTCCAACTAGGGTTAATAAAAACATTGTGTCTACCCCGTGACTTATACTGATAACAAAGATAGTTACACCTACTGTTCTGTCTTGTCAGTGGAAAATCATGAAGAAAATGGTTTCAAATTTAAGAATAGAAGGTTCAAAAGAAAGCATTAAAGTTTGGGAATGAAAGATTAAAGGGCCGTTTTGCGATGAGAAAGAGAAAATGAAGCTGTTAAGGGAAGTAAAGGAAAAAATCGAGCCACCAACATGGAACCACAATTTGCCCACAAAAGGGCGACAAGTGTGGACAAAAAAGCTCTCTATGAAACACCAAATACCCTCAAATGAATTACAAAGAAATGACCAGTAGTAAGAGAGAGGATGACTTTGCTGATGAACGCAGTTGAGAGTAAACGGATACTTTGGAAAAATAACGAAAAGGAAAGAGGCTTTGAGCGTTTTAATAATCTTTTTCACTATCGATTGCGCTTATGTTTTTCAAAGTAGAGGTTTTCTTTATACCAGTATAAAATTATCATTCTTTGCAATGCTCAAGTTTTATTTCTGTACAAATACGTCATTGCTTTATTTTTAAAGCTGCTGAAAACTATGAAACGTATCTGCTAGAGGACGAAAGGAAATCCTCTTTCGCTCTAATTAAATCGCCATGCGCATTAACTGATATACCCAATACTGTTCTAATACTGAAACAACCATTGTATAAAGAAACTCTTTTTTTACCCAATTGCTGAAGGAAGTTTGCCGTTCGTGCTTAACAGGAACTCTGACAAAAGTAAACTAAATCAGCGAGATATTAGCCCCGCAGACCGAGCTACCAATTTATTTAAGATACGAAACATTTTTTTAGGTCTTCGAGTGGGTTTTCAAAGATTTGCCAACGGTTTAGTGAACAAGGAATTTTCTTTAGAACGGAATTATGTCTCTGAGTAGAACCAACTATCAATATTACATTTAATATATAACAAAGTCAGACCTTCTTAAACGTCTTACTCGCATGCTGACCTATTGTTATTCTAAGTCAGTTTTACCACTTCCTGACGACGACTTACAATACGCACTCCAACGCTTGCAGATGGAGTCTAAGATCGTATCACTCTTCTTTATACTTTTATCTTAAGTACTTTATTGTGTGTGACAGGAAAATGTTCTTAAGATAGGCCTGCACGCACTCTTAGGCTGCGCGAAAAACGAGCACCTTAAATCTGCGGTCACCTTAAAATGATTCGTCACTTGAATTGAAACGAAATGAGGTAGGCTTTTTTTATATCAAGCCAAGCTGTTCCTGTAAAAAATAATTTATTTTGCTTGTGTAAAGAGAAAGATAAAAGAAAATTGTGGCCGTTGTTCAAAACGATTACGACTTATTTTACCCATGACATGTTAATTTGCCACGCTCCACGCTTGAATAATTTAACTCAAAATAATACAGGTAATTTAGTGTTAACAACTGGGTTGAAAACGTAAATTAGCCACCGTAAAGGGTAAAAAAGCTGACGTTTCGAGCGTTAGCCCTTCGTCAATCGCTCTGACGAAGGGCTTACATTTTTCTTATCAACTATCTGAAACATATACGCTTTTATTTGAGCGTTTTCACTGCAAATCGACGATCAAGTTGAAATGTTGGATACAATCTTCGACAGATAATCACTTTATGTTTGAGAGAAGGAATAACTTAACGAAGGAACTGTCTAAGAGCCGTGAAATGAGTTGGGATAATTTGTTAGGAGTGTGAGGCTGGGGTACTTAATGTTCGCAGTAGAAGTGGCACTCTAGTTATAAAGAGTTTCTATCATCGAAACATCCTGTTGTTGATGATATTTAACGGCGTTGCAAGTGGCTTACTTCTGATTTAGCCAGTGCAACATAGGGTTTAAGTAATGAGAATAATAACCATTGTTCCTTATTATTTTTCACGGATGGCTCAACCTAAGATATGAATGGCTTGACCGTTGTAACCAATTATTTCCTAGAAACACATGTGATTGAACTACCCGAAATCTCTTTTAATTCTTTTACCGATTATTATTCAGCAAATAGCTTCAATATACCGCTCAAGTATTTTACTCAGAATACCTTGTTCATAGCAATATTTAATAACAGTGCTTCCCATGGATATTCCATTTTTTCCTTGGTTTAGATATTTCTTCCTGTAGCGTTGATGTCACTTTGTATTCATTGCACTCCCCGGAAACTGTGACATAACAATCGTGACAACGCTTCCGGTTGAATCGACTTCCTGTCTTCTTTGAGCACAAAGTTTAAGCCCTTTTTCTTCAGTTCTAGCTGACGCTCTTTGCATAATGGGTGAATTTTATTTTACCACTTTTGAAAAACCTTCGGTGCTTTTTGCAGTGAATCTGGAATATTTTTGAGCTCAATAATGAAGATCAGTTTAGAACTAACAGGAAGTGACCCTGCAGTTTTTCCGGTTAACAAAACAATCGTCACAAATGACTTTTCTTAGACTTCCTGTCATTCGCGTTACTAACGCTAATATTCTTTGCTGGTGGTATTCGTGGAAAGGTGTCTTACTAGGTAGACAACAGAACAATTCTGCATCTTTTCATTGTGAACTTACAGGAGTTGTCTGCAGGTTGAGTAGACAGCTGTTGCTCGTGGCAGGGAAACGTTCTAAGGGGACCGCATGACATTTCTCAGTATTAAGAAAAACACAAGTGAGTCTGGATGGCACGGTGCGCTCGCTGCCAGGGTCACTACACTTTATTGCTTGGTCTATAGTTAAGCATATTTATTTAGAGTGCATTTAATTAACATTCTCGTGAAGCAATTGTTCTAATAACTTTCCTTTAGTCTTAAATTAACTTAATTTTTGTTCAAGGCTTTCTTCGTTTAAGGATGAAAGAGTGAATAACTCCAGCTGAAAATACTTTTAACCCGAAATTCGTTTTGAACAACAACAAACATACCTCGTCGTGGCGTGTACTTCTCAGTCTCAGTCTATTCCTCCTTAATCATCCGTACATCAATTACATGATTTGATTCTTTTATTATTCACGAACATTTGTACTCAGGGTAAGAATTCCTTCATGACCTGAGCTAAATAAAGGAATTTTCTTTGTTGCGTTCTTAGCTGATGTATTATTTGTTTCATTCGTAGACTACGATCTGGATGCATTCAGGGACATCAAACCATTCCAAATACCTAAGTCCAAAGATTGTGAAAGGTACAGTGACCTACCGACTAACGGCTTCCTAAACTGGGCAGCATGCCCACAGCCACCTCGTTATGCCGAGATGCCCCCTCCTCTCCAGCGCATACAGACAAACAATGCGGAAGAGGTTGTCTTTTTCAACGTGCAGAAGTGTTACGAAAAGGTCCAGTGCCGAAAGAACAAGAAATCGAAACAGCGTGTCCAAGGGGCCACAATCAATTTACGAGTCACGACCGATACACCCATCTCTAAAGTAGAAGTGTACGTAGAGAGGCTACCAAAGGCTGCTGTTCTCTGCGGAGACAGCAATGGTAGAGTCCCACTCAAACTTAAGATGGAGAATCTCATGTATTCTGATGTAAGTATTTATTCTGTTGTATTATTGAATAAAAAAGTGCGTTATGTCATTGCCCGGTTGTACTGGACGTGTAGACAATGCCATTTGAACATGATTTTTAATGGAACTGGTGTATGCAAGGTTTTTTCATCTTCTTTAGATAACATACTATATCAAGGAAGTTAGGTTTAGGGTGAAAAAAGCTTGAATATTGTACATTGACCTTGTCGATAGAACCTGGGAAACATATAAAGCCAGTGGCGAGCTAGCAAATAATACACTAGTAACTCATGGAACATTACTAGTACTTGTTGTTACTCACCGTTTTGTTCTATTGTGTCATTCTGCTATAATAAATTACATTTTAGACAGGGAGCATATAGCCTTTAATGACTGGAAGTCTTTCTCGGAATTTTTCGCCATCAAGCTTGCGGTGTCCTTAGGTGAAGTCTGGAGGAACTGTGAGCATCAAAATACTGCTTTCATGCCCAGCTCTTCTAGACTTTATCTAGAGTCTTTTGCTTCTCTTTCTTCTTGGACAATTTTAATGGAACACTTGCCCCAAGTTTGGTAGAAGTCTAGTATAGTTAGCTATGGTTGTTAAGTTTGGATATTAGGCTTGTGTGGTTAGGTTATGTGTATTTACTGATCCTTCATTTTCTTTTTCTTTCTTGAAGAACTACCAGAGACAGGATCAATACTTCTCTGTTGACTTGGACTCTGTGTATCATAATCCAATCACCGGCTCTCCAGTATACAAGCTGTCCACAGTGGACTCGGAAAGACGCAACCGCTTTTGGCTGTTAGCTTACATTGTTTACGCCAATGGACGTAAGAGTCAACCATTTTACAGCGAACCTTTTTTGCTTAAAAGTAAGAGAAGCTGTAAGGCCTCTCCTTATTAACACATTCTTAATTCTGACCTCCATGAAAAACTGATACAAGAAGGGTGGAACTCAGAAAGTTCAATTCAAAGTTCTAATCTTTTTCTTCTTTGTACATTCTTTTCCTTCTTGGTTCATAGTTGCCTCTTGCTTTGTACTTGCCTCTTTCTTACTGAGTTGATATTTTCCAGCCTACTTTACGTTCAAAGATAGTCAAATAATCATAGTGCCATAGCTCCCTTAAAGAAAACTTTATATTAATAAAAAGATGGTGTATCAATTTGTTTAAAATGGTCTTGAAAAGATCATGGATTTACTTTAACCGTGACGCAAATTATACATGAAGAACGATACACCTATTTGTTTTTCGGTTCATCACTTACTAGTGCGATTTTTGAAATGTTAGTTGCCTGAGTAATTGTGTAAAAAGATGTAAATATATCGAAACAATTTCTTTCCATGAAGCTCTCTCCAACAAAAGCTACAAAACTCAAACAGTGAAATGTTTGAATCCACGAGACCTTAAGCTTGAGTAGAATTGTGATTGTACAAGTTCTGATTTGCGTCAAGAAAGCAAAAAACGCTATAAATTTTAAGCTTGGTTGACCGTAAGCGTGGGACAAAGAAATAATATTTTCTACGTCTAATTTTCAAGGGAAAAAAAGCTACAGAACCGTTTGCGGCACCAACATGCGTCTAGATTGAATATTTCTTTGATTCCTGTGAGAATACCATACGTGTAAATATTACTGCCATCTGTGCTACTAAAGTACTGAGTTGTCGTAACCTTCTTGGTTACCTTTTATTACATTGACGATGGTGTTTTCTGAAACAAGACTGAAAGATTAACACACTAGAAGTGTCATTCACCGTCATTAAAAGATGTTTTAATGATACGAGAAAAGATAAGTTGAATTGTATCAATTTAAAAGGTTTAACTAGTGATATTTCATAAATAAAGTAGTAACAGAGAAACATTTGAATAAATAAAACAACAACAGTAACAATTTAATTGTGGATTATGTTTTAAAAAACATTTTGTCATGATTGTCTTGCTTTAGTCTTTTTCCTTGAGGGGAAGCCGCAGGATTTTGATTGTGTCAAATTAAAATTTATCTGATCTCCCCATAGGGCTACCCTCATTGACAGTCAATTTCCTGTAGTCCCCCTCCCCTTTATACTTTGCTGGCGACGACTAATACCTCCTCCCTTGCTCCTGAAAACCAAGTGATTCCCCCACCCCGCAATCCTTCCAGGCGATAAATAAGGACTGCTCCATGAAACACGTCAAAAACGCCGATCACGAAGTGTTCGTGTTGTGGCTAAGTTGGCGCGAGTCCATGCTTTTCAAAATTGTCCACCAGTACCTTTGTGATAACACGGTTTCTCGTTGATACCCTGTGGTTTCCTTGTTTGCTGCTCTCCCCTAAGATATTCAAACATGCGTGATTCTCTTTACGACCCTACTCCCTTCTCCCTTGCTTATCCGCGAGACTGAGGTGTCTTCTACTACTTCCCAGTGCTTTTTCCTTTGATCGTGCCTCAAACGTTCAAGATCATGATTTCAGTTATATGACTCCTCTCCCAAAATCTACTCTTTACTTTCCCGGTTTTTCTCCCTTCCTGTACCCTGATTTTCTTTCTCAAATGTAATCCATTCCAATAGATTCCTTTCAATTTTGCCTTGAAGGTTCACAATCACGATTTGAGTTATGTGTCTCGTTCTCTTTACAATTTCACTCGTCATAATTATCATTAAGTCGTATATTTCAATACGCGGCCTTAACGGTTTTCCTAGGCGTTGTCCGCTCACTTTGTACTCCTTTGTACTTTCCAAGTTTTCCACCCTTCGAGTTGCCTGAATTTCTCTTTTGTTTTTTCTTTTTCCAGTGTATTCAATTTCAGTATAATCCCTATAATAGTGCCACGGACATTCACCAACCCCACTTCGAGTCACATACCTCGTTCTCTTTCTGCCCTCTCTGGCCATATGAAGTCGTTCATTTCAAGCACGGTTTTTAGGCGGTTTTCCATGGCCTTGCATGCCTGCTCCCTTCCTCGAAGACTCCTCTGTGTTTCCCAGATTCCCCCTTCAGTTACTGCCTGTCATTTTTTATTTTTTTCCAAAATGTTTCATCTATTTCTTCGATTTTAGGTGTTCACTCGCTTGTGTGTCATTCTATTGCGACATCGTGATCTGTGTTTAGATGAATTACCTGGTGGCTTCCATTTCCTTGATGACCAGTTTAGATTTTACCTTTATTTCTGCAGCGCGGCAGGAGAAATAAAGGTTAGCCATGTGTTGTATGTACGGGAAGCAGTTCGTTTATTACTTGTGGCCGCCAATTAATGCACTTGAAGAGACCGGAATTCTTCACTCAAGTACAAGTCGCATAAAATGGTACAGTTTTGATATGGGACCATGACATCATCTGATGGAAGAGTAATGAAATAGTGAGAGTGGTAAATAACAGACTGATTAGGGCTAGAGAAAGGATTGTCCATACAGCAATGAGGAAATTCCTGGTTATCCTTTTTTTAATAAAATTTGTTTCAATGGACAATTTCCCTTCTAAAAAAGACTTAAGGGGATGTTAACAGCAAAAATACAAACTAAATGGATGAATTAGGATCCATTAAGCATGTCTACAGATGTGACCAATGGATTCGATTCAACAACTTGATTTCCTCTTGAAGCTGCAAAGGTTTGCACGAGGGTAATTTTCCTCCTAAAACTTGAAGAATAATTTTAGCAGCAGCCGCGGCCGGCCGGTGATGAATTCCCGCCATTTGGAAGTGCGGCCAGGTTACTTAGTTATTTTCAAAATGGCGGAGCTTTGAGGTCGAATGGAGACCATTTCCGAACAGTTAAGCAACTCTTTACAATCTCATGACGTGGTAAGAAGCAAATTTTATTAAGTAATATTTGTAGAATATGATTTTCCATGAAGCCATTGGTTTGGTTGCATTATATTGTTTTGTATGAAGGTATTGTTGGAATTATGAATAACTCACCGTCTAAAAGTTTGTTTATATATTTCTAGCATTGATATCTTCAAGTTCTTTTTTACCAACACAACCCTTCGCATGAGTATTATGCTTCCCTTCCATGCTTATATAAAATATTTCGGCCCATGTTTCATATGGTCAGCTAGTAAATCAAGCAGCTATGGCAGCTATGGCAGCTATGGCAAGCGGAGTACAATCGATCATCTTGGCTGTCTTTATGATCTATAATAAGTGATCGATTATTTCTTGTGCGCCTAGCTTTGCTAATCGAAAGTTTTAGCTGTTGGCAAAATTTTATTTGATCCATTCAGGGTGAATAGACCTTTTTAGCTTCATACGTATGGTCTATATTAACCAGAGATTGGTTACGTGGTCCGAATGAGTAAACAACAGTCGCCGCCATAACAAATCAACTACGAAGGGCAGAGAACAGTCGAATAGTCCACGATCATTGTGTCTATAACTTCCATAATATTTCCACAAATTCAGACTTGTCTTTTCATAAATACCCTTAGGATCCTAAGCTTCACAAGTTAAATGTCCATGTTGTAATTCTTCAACTACTAGTCAAACGAATTTGTATTTTAATCTGCACGAGTAAATGGTCTGAATAGTAATTTCGTCTCTTCTCGATTTTTTAATGTCATGGTTGTTTATTACTTTCTTTTTAACCAACTATGTAATTTCGGAATAAAGAAAGATCAAAATTAAGACCGAAGAGTAGCATCCAGTACCAAGGTGTGCTCTGAACATGATTTTAAGTTTGTAGACAGCCGAACCAGGAGATTGATAGCAGCGCTTTTAATAAGATTTGATAAGGTGGCTACCTCGGTAAAGCAAATAAAATGGGAAATAATTTCCCCTTCGCTAGCCCATTTGTTCTATTCAGAATAAACCGACTTCAAATGGAGTTTTCTGAGTTAAACTTCGGTAAATAATAACTAAATATTAGTTTTCTTAATTTGTAACAATTGTTTAATTGACCTTATCAAAATCTTCCATTTTCTGACCTGCTCCCTGAGTTACACACATAGGTCTCCTGAAAGGACAGACGCCCGGTTACTTGTTACCGAAATTCGAGTCCTTATGTTCTTGGAAATGTCATGTATGATAAGACAATATCAGTCATTTTTATCGAAACGTTTTTCATTAAGGCAAAATTCTAAAAGATCCCGAGATGTTCTAGATCTTAATAAGTGAGTTTTCTTGAAAGCTTCCGAAAAGTCACAGAAAGATCCAGAATGGTGGTAATCATCCAACATCGCATAATACTAAACACTTTCGACTGGTAGTCTACAAAACCAATACGAGATAATATCCCGTGTGTATCAAATTTCCATATGAACATGTTCTCAAATTTTGCTATGTACCAAACCTTTCTTCGCCTGACCGATCCAGATTCCATTGTTTTCCATTAGACTCACTTGGTAACGCCCTGATCTTTGTTTACAGATTTTTCTTCTGCCTGCAATTGGAAACAAACCTCTCATTCTCTTGTCTTAAACGCAGAACGATTTTTTTGTGATCGCAAGCTTCCCTTTTTATCAGGTGAAATCAAAGATAAATGGCGGTGAATTCCACGAGTTTTGTTCATGGGAAAAATTATAGGATTACTCGTCTGCGGCCTGCGGAAGCGTTAGGGCATTCGCTATCGTTTACATAAGATACTTGAATTAAATCAATCAGCCATTTAATTCTAACTGCTTTCATGATTCCGTTTTTCATATCAGCGTAAACATTTGTCGAGCCTCCGATTGCTTCACGAAAAATAACAGAAAGTCACTTACTCATATTCTGGCAAGCCATAACCATACGAACATGGTCTTCTTGGCTTTTTACAGCAAATGCAGCTCTTTTTTTTTTAATAAAAGGTTAGACGCTAAGTGTACAATGGCTGATTTTGTTCCTCTCTTCATCGATTAGCCTCGGGTAAGCGTTTTTAATGCAAACTTTTAAGCATCTTTGCAAAAACGTGCCGAATTTAATTGTATGTGTTGAATCATTGTATCAACAAGTACGCTATTTATTGATTTTCAAGTATGGTTTCTAAGTAGCAGTTGAGACGAAGTATTGTTTTATTTGTTAAAAAATATTTGATGATTTTAGTTCAGAACAGAATTGCTTGAAATTTATTTTAAGTAACCGACGATGTGTACTTCTACTAGGCGCATGATGAATTCATGTAGAACACGCGAAGCAAACAGAAAGAATGAATCTAACAATCAAAAGCCACGGAATCTGAAAAATAAATAAGGTAAATACTCCAATACTAAATTGACCATCATTAACAATGTTATTTTATTTTATTTTTTTTTCGTTCTGAAGACTCGACTTGAACGTGGCAAAGTATACCCCGCGATTTACAACAGAATGCCCGCCGGAGCTCCGGCGGGTGCCGACTCTGTTTGAAAACATTGACTTGGGCTGCCATTTTGAGTTGTTGTTCACCCGCCAAGTGACCTCAATAGCTATTTATGTAAAAGGATTAATTGTCAGGAGTGGGATTCGAACCCACGCCTACAAGAGTAGACTGCGACCTGAACGCAGCGCCTTAGACCGCTCGGCCATCCTGACTTCCGTAACATCTTACGATTTAAGTTATTTGTTAATACTTCAGGAAGGGAGGGGAGGGAGAAGAGGGGGGAGGGGGTGGGTAGTTAAGCCGAGTAAGGCGTTATGGGTCGGAACGAGGTTTATGACTATGTTTCACTCGAGCTGAAACGAGGTCAATCTTTTAAATCAACTCACCACCCGAACCCCCACCACCTCCTCAATTGTTTGCGTGACGGTTCCATCTTTGATCAGTGGCACCCTCGTTAACTCGAATTCCCCGCTAACTCGAAGCAAAACTGATTTCCCTTGAATTTGCCTAATATATTTACTGTAATTTTAACCCTATAACTCAAAACCCCGATAACTCGAAGTGATTTTTACTTCCCTTCAGGTACTTCGATAACTCGAAGTCGATTTTCACTTTTGTGAACTAATGAGCCGTAATATTTTACACCGGAAGATTACATTTAATCTTATTTACTTGTGTTTTCATGCTTTTGTTTTGTTTTGCCATTTTTATGCTCTTACATTGCTAGAAATCTTTCAATAAAACATGATGTATAGGCATAAAACCTCTTTAATCAAGTGTTTCTGGTCTTTTTGTTCAAAACCCCAATAACTCGAAGTAATTTCAATTTCCCTTGGCAATTCAAGTCACCAGGGTTCAACTGTACATGTAATGCAGCAATTTCCGGCGCAACAATTTCGTCTTGTTAGAACCATATCATTTCATTCAGTGAATCGTGTGTATTGGTTGAAATTTTAAGCACACAGTAACCTCTGGTCCTTTAACATAACTTATTTCGAGTTCAAGAATGACATGTTTCACTCGATTCGCATTGTCAGCTAGATCTTTGAAAAACGAGAAATGAGATAAACTCCTTTCCCCTTCCCATCAAATTGATGGCGCGATAACTCGATAATGTCTTATTATGTCTGAGAAAATAAAGGTTCCATTATATTCTCTTGGCGTGAATCAATTGTAATTCAATAAGGACTATGTAAAAGAAACTTCGAAGTCCTTCGGTACATCTCAAGTGTAGCTATAAAAAGTTTTGGATGTGTACTCCTTGTTAGGTTTTGCATTTCATAGTTTTGCAAAATTACTTGAACCCAAAGTTATATACGCAACAAAACGCTTGAATTTTGAGAATGCGTTATGTGCCATACTCAGCTCTACTTTACACCCCTCCCCATCCCATGAGGAAGTAACTTCGCGTATGTCAGGGTGGCCGAGTGGTGTAAGGTCGCAGTCGAATCCCACTTGTGACATAAATGGCATTCTTTCAACAATCCATCTCGAATGTTTCAATTTAGTCAAATTTCGCCACTGATTCACACTGTACATACCTCAACCGAGTTCGGGGTCCTTACTTTCGGACCGAGCTATTTCCTCCATCAAGTGCGTGGGCCTGAAATCAGCTCAAATGATTAAAAGGGGAACCCACAGCCAACAGAACGGCCCAAGAAGAGGATGTTAGTAAGATTACCATTTATAAAATCCCAGTGGTGGGTTTGTTCCTAGTTGCGCGAAACGGACGCCCATCGAGATCCAAATGAACCAATTTGAGATTTTAAGTCGTTAGTGCTTTGAATATTAGAAGGAATAAAAAGAAGTGGACCTCGACTTCGTATTCTTCGCCAATCGTTAAAATATATTTTTTAAAAACAATTGGTGATCGATGACGGTAGAATTTGGCAACCACAGCGGCTTTAGTAACTCACAATTAAAAAAATAAAACGAAGGGGTGTTATTTCACTTACATCTGGGGTGCAATTCGCTCTCCGGAGACTCTCATGACCTAAAAAGTCAAAACAAAAATAAATGTATTGACTGCTGAATAAATAATGAAATAAATAGGGGCATAGTTACGGCAAACGGCTTGAATTCTCGTTTCTCTATATGAACGGGAGCTCTGATTTGTCTGGTCTTGCTGGTAATCCTTCCTTTCCCTCCCCCCTCCCCCCCCTTCACTACAAATTCTACGCGTTCAAATAAGAAGCGAAACAGATGACCTACTGACCCCATTTAAGCTCTGCGGCTTTGTTTGAGTTGCTGTAAACAGCTGAAACAGGAAGTTGAAATAAAAATAGCCCGCTTGATGTGGTTTTACTGGCATTCTTACTCCAACCACATTGATCTTCTTTTCTTTATTTTTCTGACTTCCTTTTACTTACATCATATTTCTTGCTATGCCAACGAAAACATGTGAAAGAGATAAACTACATCAAGACTGCTTGTTCTCTAAACCGGTAAAGTGCGAGAGATTTGTTTACATCCGATCGACTGACCGTGACATTCATTTGTGTCACGCGGGTGGCGGCTTGTCAGGTATGGAAATCAAAGAAGCGCTCTTATGTTTTTGAGTCTCTGATGAAAGGCTGTAATTTGCATACATTTTTTTAGTGTCGGTGTTTAGAGTTATAAAAGAAAATGAGCGTCCAATATCGTCGTCACGCTAGTTTGATATTATTTAAAGTATTAGAAGCACGACAACAATAATCATCTGATAGTCTTGTGAGCCTACGAGCATTTTGAACGGAAGAGTTAAGCCGGGAAAGCCCCTTATGTCGCCCTAGTAACGAGAACTACATTATTCAAGTGATGCTTATGTCTTAATTCATTAGCTTGTTGGAGTTAGTCTGAGCTATTGTTAAAAAGGGCCCCGTCTATTCTCAAGGTAAATGGACCAATCATTTGTTAAATAGACAACTACACGTAACAGGTGTCAATCAATTATTGGTGTTTGAACTGGGGTTGGATCTCAAGATCGTGCGTGGTTCCCATCCGACATTTTTGCAGAGTTGTTCCACCAGCTGACAGCAAATATATGGAAGATAAACTTCAAGAATTCGCACACGGAAGGGACTGTAACCTGATTAGATCATACACTGTGGTCGCGATATTGGAGTTAATGGCGAACTATTAGAACTTCCTAGTGAATCTAGATTTTTATCCTTGAATTCAAGGTTAAATCGAAAAAAATATTCTCGCCTTTACCGGCGAGGATGGAAAAATCTGAACCAAAGAGCATGGATTGTTTTGCGGCCTCTGCAGAAGCAGAGAGAGACAAGTTGCTAAGTTTGTTTAATTCCTCGATACTGAGAGATCTTTTTATGGCCAAAAACTTCCCTATCAGTGAAGAAGGTAAGTGCAGCATGAACTGTTCTTCTACTTCGCCCGAATGTGTGTAAAGCGCGCTATCTTTCATTCAGAAAACAAGATGAAAGTACATTAATATGCAAACATAAGGCTCCATAGATGTCATATCAGTTTCTTGATTCACATCGGGGATAGGAAGGCGAAGAAAAATTCAGTTATTTAACATTGGGCTCAGTATATATCATTGGGATTTGCCACTGCAAAATCCCGAAGGGCTGATAAAAATTATTATGAAATCATCAATTGAGCTTTCTTGACTGCGATGCTCAAGATTTAACTGTATTGGGTCAGAGATCAAGCGGAATTGAAAGCACAACCAAAAACGTGAAGTTGAGTTTCCGACTATTTCGGTCGAGCTGAAACAAGGTCAAATGCATTTATCGAGAGGAAACTTTCTTCTTGATGTAAACATGCCAGGGAAAGGCTATGAAAGGGTACTGAGAGGTTAAAATTTGTCTCTACGCTTCACTGCTTTTTCGTTTCAGCGCAACAGGAAGTTGTAAGTCACGTGACATCGTGATAGCTCACGCAATATTTTTTCTTGTGACCGGTTTCTTCCGCGTTACTATGTTACGGTTTGTGATTAAAGCAACTGAGTCTAAGTTTTCCATTGCAATCCGTTTCAATCTGCTCCATTAGTAGTCATCCTTAGTCCTATCGGAGTTTTAAATGACCCTTCTGTGTTTTTCTATTCAGTTGCACTAAAATTTCCGTGTTTTCCTCAAGTTTAAGGTATTTTCGCTCAGCCGATGAGACTTTTTAAAAAAACTATTGCAGTGAAGCTCATTTTCTTTGGACATATAGTTAACCAATTTTTTACAATTTGTGTTACACTTTTTGACCTATAAAGTACTTTAATGTGACCCACTGGAAGCAAAGTGGAAAATCACACACCCGTCATGATTTGAAAGCATTTCAGCTTTAATCAGCAACTCGGGTTACTATGTACGAAGATTTGTAATATCTGCCAAGTCTTTTCTGTAGAATTGTGGCCAGTATGATGAAGGATGCGTGTCCTAATACCTGCTTCTACCTTTCGAAATGTAGCAAATTTATTCCGAAATGATTATGGATACCAATTCTAATTTATTCGGTGAGAAATGTGTTAAATTTCATACAACATAAGTAATGTGCATTTTGATCGAAACCGCTTCCAGCTATCGCAATTTCTTCTCCAGATCAGCGCTGGTTATATTCTCAGTTCTTTTTTCCGACAATTTCTCTTAAGAATAATGAAAATCCTGTTTGTACATTTGGGCTTTATGGTTAGGGTACCATCAGTTACTCTGCAGACTCACAACCCATTCCATAGTGGATCTTTTGGATTCAGGATTGTTGTTACTTGCCGCAGTTTCGATACTTCTGTTCAGGAAGTTTAGGAAATAATGCATTGACAAAGGGAGTGAAATTCTCCTAATATGGCAGTTCTTTGTGATTTATGAAGAGGAAAACAATGCTGTCCGTGGGAGATCCAGCTAATCGTGCAAACCATTGCTATTATTGCTATCATTATTATTTTTTATTCCTATCCTTTTAGATGACCAAGATGGCACTAAAACAGAACCTCAGTCTCCCACCAGCTGCTGTCATATATTTGAGAATCTGGGGCTGGAAGGGGAGGATGTTGAGATCAGGGTGGACTTTCCTGATCTGAAGCTCGTCTACCACAAGACACAGTCCCGTGCTAACCGTCAATCCAGACAACGAGTCGTGAAAGGAAAGATCAAGGTGCGTGTGCTCACTCAAGGTCATCAGGTGCAGACCATTGAGGTTTACGTCGAGAGAACTCCCAATGCCGCACTCCTGGTTGGAGATAAATGCGGCAGAGTGTACCTCAAGTCCCAGCCAGGACCCTACTTTCCAAATAAGGTAAAGAAAAAAGGTTACGTTAGACGTCTACTTCAGGCTGGTGACTGTCACAATTCGTCAAATTGTTTCTGGGGGGTGCGGGGAGAGGGGATCACGTCAAACATAATCATCTGTATGTTTTCTTGGCTTTCTTGTGTGATATTTGATTTTTATTGATATAGTTTCGATACTTAAGCTCGTGACAATATTCCTGAGGCGACTCCGTAAGACCTGTTAAATGAAACAGAAGGGCTAAATGCGGTAATTCATGGTCTAGACTAAACACGATTACGCCTACTTTATTGAGACGAGGGGGAGGTTGATCATTGATTAATCTTCCCTTCCCATTGCACATGCACATCTGTGTTGTTGTGGCAAGTTAGATTTCGTACAAAGACATAGGCATCTGTATTACGGGAAACGTATGCTGGACACTGATGTGACTTAAGTATTATTTTCGCCTGGCGCTCAAGTAAATGCGTATGCTGGCCTTGCCGTTGATTCAGAGGTGAGTAAATTGTGTTTGCTAATCTTTAGAAAGTGTGGCGTGTCCTTGATAGCGATCATTTTTTTCAAAGCTTTCCCGTCAGAGGTTTACGGTGCAAAGTCTACATAGGTAACCTAAAGGTAAAGAGCGAGTTCTGATCTCAAGATTATCAAGGGGTTAAGTTACATGAGGAGAGGAGGAGGAGGGGGGGGGGGGGGGGGGGACTGGGAAGGGAGAGCCTGAGAAAAAAAGAGAATTCAGAGAGTTTTTAGTAGTGTTTGTCATCGAGTATGTGCCTAAACATTTAGGCAGATTTCGGACCTTCAATAAAAGTAGAGGTAATAACAGAGAAGAGTGCAAATCGTTGTTTCTACAAATCCTACCTTTCGCCCACCAGATATTGACATACGTATTAGAGAAAGAGGCTCAGAGGTCCACCGAGGCTAAACTCTTTCACTCAAAAAAGGGACTGTAGAATATCAATTCGCTTAAAGAAGTCCTTGAATCGCCAATTTAAACCGAGAAAAGGCCTTCGTGCTATCTCGCCTCTTATGTATTCGTAGACTCAAGTACTCCCAGCCCTCTGGTTTTTACAAAACTACTTCACAGGCCTGCTTATCAGAACATTCTCTCCACAGTATTACTTCACGGTTGATTTGGACTCTGTTTACGAGTCTCCAACGAGGCATGGCGTTCCTGTGTACAAGCTGTCTACAGTGGACGCAGAGAGACGAAATAATTTCCGTTTGGTGGTTGTGGTAGTACTAATCGGTGATCACCGCAGTAAGGAGTTCATCAGTCGACCGTTTCGTCTGCGTAGTAAAACAAATGGCAGGTTCAGAAGCTTGTCATTATAGATCATCTAGTTATGTGCTAATCTGTAAATCTCTGGCTGAACTGATAATTTTATGTGAATTCTTCAAGAAATTCAGGTGCTATTTTAGCTCTCTGCCATGAGCTGTAGGATCGCAACCCCAGCATACTTTGAATTTCTTATAGACTACAGCGAACAATTGATACCTATTTTGTCATTAACAAACCTTTTGGTTAAAAATCAGAGTGCAGCCAGAGATTTATGGATCACATAAAAGTATTATCCGTCGAGAAACAAGTCTGTCTTACCGGTTTTCATGAACTGGTTGAGGTGTACGTTAGATATTATATATCGGCTTATATTAAGTTGCAATGAGGTCCACAGAAAATGATTGACCTTTTCATGTGCTTGTACCTGAAAAGTGAAAAGAACTCTAGTAAATATTCTGTGTAACAAAATCAGAACTTCTCCAGAATAACTACCGTCGTTTGAGTTACATTGAATCTCATTCGAAATCAAGGTTTGCTCAGGCCTTGCTTCTACAATAGGAATGAAAATATTAAGGAGCTACTTTACGATCGCATAAGCCATTTTGCATCTCGCAGAGATACCAGAAACTAAAAGCAAGCCCCAAAAAAAATACTCATAAAGTTGAAATCTCCAAAAGGGGAAATGTGATAAATTTAAAAGGACCAGGGATGACACTGAAAGGATGGAAGAGATTAAAATGAATTGTGAACTAAAAAATTGAAGAATGCAGACTTAAGTTTTCAAGGAGCAGATATTGTGACCTCTCTTCGGGGAAAGTGCGAGATTGGAAAGAAGTATTTTTGAGGCTGTAAACACTTGCTGTTCTTAAAGATCAAATTGAATTGTAATTTTAAGGCGCTCAAAGTATTAATTAATTATCTCTTTCGAGGAGTAAACTAGATTGCAAGGAAGTCGTTTTGAAGGTTGTGAACATATATGCTACTTGAATTAAGCAACAAGATTCTCCTCTTCGAATGTTTTATTTGTGGTTTTTGACGTTCTTCCTAACGGTATAGTTAGTTACTTGCGTCACTCTATAGAGCAACAAAGATTTTAAAAAATTACGTAGTTACAGAGTAGGTATAAGCACATGGAAAGTTCGACATTTAAGGATCCAATGCCTTTTTTCCAAAGACTACTGCTGTGCAGTGCATTTTTGCGTCTAATGATTAACGAGCCAAGTTTGATTTCTTTGGTGATTAGTTGTTTGCAATTTAGGACTATGGATTAAGAGTAACTATCTTGTCATTTTTTGAGGTATAGTTATGGATAATTTTTCCTCTCCCAAGACATAAAGTTTTGGAAAAGTTTAGGTACTACCATATCAGTATATATATAACCTACATAGCATAAACCTTATAATTATTGAAATGTTCTAGTGTAGCTTTGATACCTGCTGATCACTCCAGCTATGCCCCTGTTAAGTCACGAGTAATCATTATAGTGTAGTTTTCCTGTATCCATTTAGAGCAATTTTCAATCGAATGTCGAAAGGAGCACGGTATTGCTATGCTTTTACTTAACTTTGCTCTGTGATTCGTACAAAAAACTTGGTCATCCTCTCAACTAATCAGATTCAAAGCTCAAAACAATTGCAGCCTGGTAACTCGCGTGTTCCCGCGCTTCAAGCAAGTTTTCCAGTTTGAGTTCTCATTGGCTTAGTACTTTGGAAACCTTTGTTCTGATTGGTCCCTGGGACTGCTATAGTTTTAGTTTTTCGACGTTCCACTTAAAACTGCTCTAATTACGTTATTAGGATCAAGTATTTTACGGGCTTCGTATGCGAAACAGATAATTGTCTAGCAATAATACCCCATGCATATTTCATGGTCTTTTGCCTTCAGCTTCAATAGGATTACAATCACTTAATTGAACTGTGGAAGGACGTTATGCGAGCGATATCAATCTCTAGACTCTTCACGCCCTTTTCTAAAGAAAATGCTTGTTTTTTACTTTTTGCCAAATAAAATCTTTTAAATTTTATTTCTTTCACTATCTGTTCTGATTTAGCACCGCGTTACGGATTACTTTGCTCTCAAGCTCCGTACTCTTACCTCTCGAAAAGAATGAGGTTCAGCCGTAACTAACAGTGCGGACGGAGGAAACGAGGCTAGGGGCGAAGATTTCAATTCAAATAAACGTTTGAATTTAGTGAATATGGCCCGTTTAATTGAGCAATCATAGTGTACGTATTAACTGAGAGCAAGAGAAAATATTGTCCCATTATTGAGAGATGTAACTGTTGGTGTCTCTTCGCTTTTGTACGCATACTTCTCTACAAGATTAAGAACTACCGCAAATTTCTTTGGAGACGTCCAAAGTTTACCAACTGCCGTAGATACTTGGCACTGTTACAGCTGGAGCAAAACATAAACTTGCTAATTGTCCTCCGCTGGCGTTGCTCGGAGATAAATAGCAAAAGATATTCGGAGTTTGATAAGCCAATCAAGGCGCGCCTTCAATGCTATCCGCCGTTTTGGTATATACTAATTCCGGCTAGTAATAAGATGTGTTTCTTGTATTCAATTTCTTTGGCTTACAAAGTCACAGTAATTTGCGCTCCAGAAAAGTACAATTATAGTCAGTTGAACTTTAAGGGTTATTTGTTCTTGTCAAGAATGGGGCAAGATTTACACGTATTAACGTTTTATGAATCGTTCACTCCTAATGCCCAGCTTTCTAGTTAGCTGTTCACTTTCCCAAAAGCAACACCGCCCGAGTATCTACCTGAAGGCAAGATTTTCTAATTTATTGATCTAGTGAGGATAAACTAAGTTTGAAACTGGACACACAAGCTCTCGGCTAGAGAAAGAAAGACAGTGTTACCCAACTCCTTACTTAAAAAGAACAAAAAGATAAAATAATATCTTGACGACAATAACAACAATAT